CATCTTGGCTTCACGCCGCTGACCCCCGCCCTCTGCTCACAGACCCGCAGCAGCAACAATTCAAAGGACTTCTTCTCAGGCAGATACCATTTGCAAAGTTTGGTCTTCCCCAAGCCTCCTCTCTCCAAACTCATGACAAATGTCTGGGTGATCATTTCTTGGCCCTAGTGAACCCCTCCCTGGGCACCACTGGCATCTCCTGGCGTTGCACCTCAGAGATCCTCTCTCTAGGTGGCTCGGAGATATCCCCACGATCTCCCTTTCCCAGCTGCATGGCAGCACCTGGGAGTGGGGAACACAGGAGTGCAAGTCATCCAGCACCAAAGCTGGAAGGACGCAAAGGCTTGCAAGTCCATACTTTGTGTCCCACCGTCTTGCCTCAATTGGTGAAGGCCATCTGCAAATTTTCATCAACACTGGAAAAGCATCATAGCATTGATTGCCTAGGTTGGTTTTGTCCTTCACCTCTGCCTTTTGAAACTTAGTTTTGTCTCCGAGTCCATCTGAAACATGAACAATCCGTGTAGATGCAACAGGAACAAACATCTGGATATGTAGCAGCTGTTGGGAGTGAGAGAGAAAAAAGAGTGACAGCTATAACTAGGAAGTAGTTTTAAGAAGCATTTTGGAATATGGTCATATAAACCTTTATCCGCTGAGCCTTTCTAGAAGGAGATAATATTGCATTGAAATCATACACCACAGTCATCAGCTTTTCTGCTGAGCTAGTGAGACCTGTATCAGGAATGTAAACAACTTCCAGCTTTTCTCCAAAACTAAATGTGATCCCATTATGCCCCAGCTCTTGATCAAGGCATACATCCCAAAAACTTTGAGAGTCATTACAGAACTTGAAGGTGACTGTGCAGAGCTGAATTGGAAGCCAGAAAGTGCACACGGCAAGTAACATGTCAAGGGGAGTTCAGAGCAAACAGTGTGCATAGGCTTGACAACACCACCGAGGACAGGCACAGACCTGACCTCTCCGAATAATAAGGGCGCCTTTGTGAAACTGGTCTTGGATGCTTGCGAAACCCTCCCGCTCTGGTAGGCAACCCAGAGGTCCGAGTGCGAGAAGTGGCCATCTGCTGCTAAGAGCATTTCCCAGGAAGTGGGAGGCCCAGCTCCAGATCTGCTGTTTCCCAGACTCGGAGAGGTGCCCCTGCTCCGCCCTCGCCGTTCCCCGCCGGGGGTGCCCGCTGTGCCCGCGGCGGTCCCGGCAGTGACGCGGGGCCCCCGCAACGGCCGCGCCGGGGCTCTTGTTGGTAACGGCCAAGATGGCGGAGGCGGCGCGGCCGCTCCTGCCCGACTCGGTGCTGCTGCAGGTCCTGGCGCTGCTGCCGCTGCGGGACCGGCTGCGAGCGGCCAGGTAGGGTCCCCCTGGCGCCGGCACCGGCCGCCTCCCGCCGCCCCGCCCCGGCGCTGACGGCTGGTCGCCTCCCCGCAGGGTCTGCCGGCGGTGGCAACAGCTGGCGCAGGACCGAGCGGTCTGGACACATGTGGATCTGAGTCCTCACCGGGTACGGGCCGCCCGTCCCATTGCTGTGGGCAGGAGCTGGGGGGAGCGGGGGGATCACCCACCGCGGGCAGGGGTGTCCCTCCCCGACCCGCCCCCTGCAGACAGGCCCTTTCCCCCCGCAGATCAGCCGCCGCACCCTGTGGCACCTGGTCCGCCACCGCCTCCCCGACAGCCTGTGCACCTTGCGGATGCGGGGCACGCCCCGCTCCCTCGGCAAGCAGCGGCTCCTCTCCCCGGCACTGCTGGCTGCCCTCCGGAAGCACTGTCCGCAGCTCCATCGCCTGTGCCTGACCGAGACAGACCTGCGCCACGTCCCTTACGAGAGCATCCCCTCTTCTGTCACCACACTGGAGCTGAACCTCTGCGACATTCCCGATGCCTGGTTCTGCGTCTCCCCTTTGGTGCCACCACCACAGGTACAACACCTCGCTATCCACAGCATTCCCACCTTTTCTGACCATCATCTTCTTGACATTTCCTCACAGAACCACCTGAAGACACTGAGCCTTTGTGGCACCTACCGCATCACTGATATGGGGATCCAAGCAGCAGCTCCACACCTGGAAGAGCTAGAACGCCTCATTCTCCGCCACTGCATTATCGGTGATGCTGCCATGGTATTCATTGGGCGCCACATGAAGCAGCTCCGCTACCTGGAAATCAGCAATGCCTACTTCCTGACAAACAGGGGACTGGTTTCTATTGCAACACTGGAGCACCTGGAGACCCTGTGCCTTGACCTTTACGATTTGGTCTCCCTTGGTACTGTTATTGCTTTGTTGCAAGTGCTGCCTCGCCTGAACCACCTCAAATTAGGCGGAACTTGCTTTGAAGATGAAGTCCTCCATAAAATTCAGGAGAATTTTCCACATTGTGCCATATCTCACACTGCTTGACAACCTGAAATATTATCCTTCCTTACTACACTTGAAGTGCTCCTTTTTTAGATAAAGCCTGATTTCCTCTACATAGTTTTGGGACAGAATTCCCATTGGCCTTAAAACATTAAGTTTTTCATGTAAATACGTTAAGAAGCTTGTCACATAAATAAGTTTGTTAAGAAATTTTTTATAGGGTTTCTCCATCCTTGTTTTCCATGGATCGGAGGAATAGGAAAGCTGGGAAGTACACTGAGTCTTTGGGAACCCCACTGATCAAAAAGTGGCTGGGGGGATAACTAGTTTAACCTCTGTCTTCTCTTTCTCCACTGCTGAGGATCAGGCAGCAGCTTAACGAGGGCAGAATTAAAGAAGCAAAGTAAGGTTCCCTCCCACCATGAAAAAAAAACAGATCTGGCAGCCAAAAACTCGTGACTTCCAGTTCCTTCCCCTTTCCTTCAAATTCAGATCTTCAAGTCAGTCCCCAGACAGATTTTGGTCCTGGAAGTTCTTGAACACCTGGTCCTGAGAGCCAGGCATTCCGTTTGCCCACGGGCATTGCTGTGCCTGCCATTACCTCTGGGTTTTGCTGGGAACATCCGTGTTTCCTCATCACCTTTAATTGTCTATGTTCTCTTTCTCTTCCTCCTCCTTCCCCCCCCCCCCACCCCCTCAATATCCTAATTCCACAGAAGTGACCAAATGATATTATGTTGTTATTCCTAATTTTTATTCTATATTTTAAGCAAATACTGTATTTATTAAAAAAAATTTAAAGCTTTTAACTTTAATTTCAACGTTTGTTTTTAGGATGGCTTCTTTGGTTTTTTTAACCTGGTTCTGCATCTCTCCTGTCCCTTAGGACAGCCCCCCTTGCAATTCTGTAGGAAGCAGAGCAGGATGAACTAATGCCTCAGCTAAGCTTTTCTGCCCTGTTTTCACCCCAAACACCCCCTGCCCTCCATTCAGCTGCAGCTCATGCAATAAACTGTTGGGTTTCAGATGAACCTGAATGGCAGTGATGCTCCCTGTGGTGAAATCCTCATTGCTGTTGCCTGGCCTTTGTGCCCTGGTCTCTTTTTTGTTCCTAAACCCACTCTCAGAATAGCTTCAGGGCAAATATCCAATGGTAAAACACCCAGCTCTGCTTTGGAAAGCATCCCAAGGCTGCTGGCTTAATAACTACCGCTCTGTGTTTATCCCAGACACGAAGATTAACACTGGTGGAATTAGCCTCATTAAAACCTCCAATGCTGTCTGTCCCAGCACTCTCTGGGCACGGGGAGGGACAGTGCAACAGGAAAAGGGAAAATGAAAAACAGTAAAAATCTGTCAGTCAGGCACAGTCAAGGCATAGTGAGATGTGGCAAGAACCTCAGTGTTCTCCCAATCTTTGCAGCAAGATCTTTGTGATCCTGATGGCACAACAATGGAATTTAATATCCCACAGTCCCAACTTGCCAGTTTTTCATCATCCAGCTGGGAGGAGCAATTACAGAGTGGGGTGTTTTAGGTTTGGAAGTGGCAGGGGAGCTGTAAATATCTGAAGACCGCAGTCAAATTAGGGGAATAAAGGACTGAAAGGATCTGGAATCAGCAGTTCTGATTCTGCTCACCTTCCTCATGCACCGCACCTACTCATGCTCTTGGTGGCTTGTTCTCCACATTTTTTCCTTCTTTCAAAATGTAGGGAGTTTCCACTTAGTTATCTCCATCTCATCTTTTGCTGACCTTTAACCTGAGCAGTTCTTCCCCCCGTCCCACCTTCCAGCTGTCCATACGCACAGCATGACATCAAAGTCTACCTTTTTTTAAATATACCTGATAAATAACCAACAGAGAAAGCTAAACCTTCAGCAAAGCCACAGTATGAAACAGCTCTTGGCATCCTGAGAGGAGCAGAAGTCCGCAGCCCCTAAAGTGAATAGAAAATGCAGAGAAACCATAAAATTTGGGTTATTGATCACTGCAGGGAGTGACAATCAATCACAAAGATGCTGCTTTGCCTCATCACACGCCATATATTAATATACCACAATTTCATACACATAGGTATTTAATATTCATACTCAGGTGCTTTATTAGACCCAAATCCATTTTATTGTCTTGGACAAGCACATCTGCTCATGCCTTCAGTGTTCATTTCCAAACCATTTCCTATTTTCCAGACCTCTTTGTTTTCACACTTGGGAGGAAATGGCCTCAGAAACCGAAGCATCTACCCCTTTTTTAATCCAAACAGATGAGAAAGCATCAGAAAAAAAGCACACAGGGTTTATCACTACCTGAGGGATGAGAGAGGTTAACCAGGGAGAGGAAGGGGGGGACGAGGCGAGACCAGAGATGAGACACCGGGAATACAGGTGAGAAACAAAGTAGCGGTGGGTGGTGATGGGGTGATGGGGTCAAGAGGCACCGAGTGGGGGACATGGGGACAAAAGGCATGGTGGGGCGAGGCAGACTGGATGAGACATTGGGGCTTAACGTGGAGGAGCGAAGAGGCACGAAGAGGGTCACGAAGGGGGTCGGGCAGGTCCCAAGCCCAGCGGAGCCTCCCGGGCCCTGCCGGTACCTGCGGGCAGGAGCTGAGGGGAACAGGAGGATCACCCTCTTTGAGCAGAAGCTGAGGGGAACAGGGGGATCACCACACTGGAGCTGAACCTCTGCGACATTCCCGATGCCTGTGCTTCGACCTCTGCAATTTTATTTCTCCCCCATTATTGATTTGAAATTTGGATCCGTGCTCCAAAACTGAATATGTCTGGGTATTGCTCTGATAAAAAAAATGTACCCAGGTCTTGCTGGCTTTTACCTCCCCTTGGTACCCTATTATGTACACCAGCAGCATTGGCATGGGTGCTTTCCTTCTCAAGGGAAGGTAATGTTATCACTTTCCAGGAGCCCACCTCTGAAAATTGGATAGCACTTCCAGAATGGAATAGTTCCCAGGATTGATCCCACACAGAAGGTGCCAGGACAGAAAGCTGGTGCTAGCCTTTACCTCCCCAGTGCAGCCTGTCGTCTGCACAATGAACACTGTGCTTGGGTGCCTTGCTTCCCAAAGGAAAGTAACATTATCATCTTTCAAGAGCCCACCTCTGAAATTTGATAGAACTTCAGAAATGGAATAATTTCAGGAATTGCTCCTACAAAAAAGGTTCCAGGACAGAAAATTCAGTGTTGCTCAATTTACCTCCTCTCGGCACCCCACCATCTGCCCCTCGACACTGGGGCTAGGTACTAGCCTTGCCAAAATAAATGTACTGCTAATAATTTTCATGTGCCGACCTCCCAAATTTGGATCCGGGCTCAAAAACTGAATACATTCAGGGATTGGTCCCATAAAATGGTACCAGGACAGAAAGCTAATGCTGCCTTTCATCCCTTCTGGGCAGCCTCTCATCTGCATCACCAACCCTGGGGCCAGGTGCTTCACTTTCCAAGGAAAGGTAATTTTATCTGTATTGAGGAGCCCCTATCTGAAATTCAGATACCACCTGCAGAATTGAATACAGGCCAGGACAGGAAGCTGTTACTGAGCTTTACCTCCCCTGAGCACACCCTCACCTGTGGGGAGTGAGGATGCTACTTTACCCTTAGAAGAAAAGCTGCCATACCCACTGTTGTGGTGCAGATGAAATGGTGGTCAGGGCAGGCAAAGGCCAGGAACTGGCTGTTTCCTAGCTCCTTTAATGTGGGATCAATCCCTAGACTAGGTACCAAAATACTCTATTTTGGTCTAGTATCCTAATTTCAGAGGCAGGTTCCTGAAAACTGTGGCAGTACATTTAATTTGGGAAGCACAACAGCTCACCCCAGTGTTGGTGATACAGACTGTCCAGGGAAGGTAAAGGCCAGCAACAGCTTTCTGTCCTGGCATATTTTTTTGTGGGAGCAATCCCCAGAAGAATTCAGTTTTGGAGGTGATATTTTCTTTCAGTAGCCCACCTCTGAAATTTGGATAACATTGTGGAACAAAAGTACCCAGCCTTAGAGTTTTGCCTGCTTGGGGGAAGCATAGGCCAGCAACAGCTTTCTGTCCTGGCACCTTTTCTTTTGGAGCAATCCCTGGATGTATTCTATTTTGGAGGGTGCCTCTATGTTTCAGAGGTCATTCCTGATGTTGTATGACACAGTCTTTCCCTTGGGAAGGACAGCATCTAGCCCCAGTGTTGGTGGTGCAGATGTTAGGCTTTCCAGGGGATATAAAGGCCAGAAACACCTTTCCATCCTCACCGCCTCTTCCCTTAGTGGGTGGTGGGTTTTGCAGCATTCCTGCTTCCCTTGGGTTCCCAATGCTCTACAAGTATGTCCACGTCTTCTTCAGCTCCACCATCCTTGTGTTTTCTGTGGCTTCCTGTGTATTGGGAATCAACGAGAAGCTTTTCTTCAGCCTGTGAGCACCGGGGGGAGGGGGCTCGAGGGAAACCGGTTGCAGGGATGGGGGGACCCCTCACAGGGATGGGGGAGCTCTGAAAAATCCCTCAGAGGGAGAAGGGGGCTTGGGAAGATCCCTCACAAGGATAGGGGGGCTTGGAGAGACACTATCAAGGATGGGGGAGCTTAGGGAGAGCCCTTGCAGGGACTTGGGAGGCTTGGGAAGACCCCTCACAGGGGTGGGGGCCCAGGAAGATCTCTTGAAGGGATGAGGGAGTGCTTGAGAAGGTCCCTCATAGGGAGAGGGGGGCTGTGGGGGACCACTTGCAGAGATAGGGGGGCTTGGGGAAAGCCTGCATAGGGATGGGGGGGCTCAGGGGAGCCCTCACAGAGATGGCTTTAAAAACTCAGGAGGGAAAATTTAAGACTGCTTGAGCCACTCCCTTACAATAGTGGAGTGTGGGGGGGAATCGAAGAAAAGAAGCCTGTGGGAGGTTTAAAATGCTAGAGTCACAATTTTACTGAGGTAAAACTTTCAAGTAACACACTAATACATAGAAAAATGGTTTACCCACAAAACCAACAAAAGTAAGATGTTATCTGCCCCCCCACCCCTAGGGCAAAAGAAAAAAGGGCTTCAGTTCCCGTGCGGCCCAGCAGAACAAAGAAGGTACTGTGGTGGCAAACAGGTTTCCGCTGTTTAACGTTCTCCTCGGCCAGACAAAAGCAACGGGGAACAGGGGCAAAATAAAACCTAGAAGGCTATTCGCACATGAAAGGGGAAGGTCAGCAAAACCTTTCTGTCCCGACACGTTTCGTTTGAGGCTGGTGACGTTTTCACCTCTGGATCCGCACTTTGGGTTGTGGTTTTGTGAGTACGCACCTCCACCTAGTGGAACATTTGAACGGTGACATTGGTGAACATCCACTACATGGCGCTGTGTGTTTGAAAAAGACGTAAATGTGTCAAGGTTCTCTCGAAAGCACTAAAAATGAACATCCAAAGCTGAAAATATCCTTCACAGCCCTCAAAAAAGAAATGTGCCAGCACAAGAGTCCACTGACCTGATCTTCCGTTTTCAAAAGTGTATTTGCACAACAATCAAGCGACAGTTCCTCCTGCGTGCGTGACTGGCTCAAAACCACCAGGTGGGAGGCAGTGTGGGGAGCAGGGCGAGCTCTGTGTGGGTGGGACGGGCACCGCTCCGCCGCTGCCCCCGACCGGCAGTGACCGCAGAGCCCGCAGTGAGCCCCGAACGGCGCCGGCCCGGCGTGGGGGGAACCCCGGGAAACATTAAAGAGCAGGTGCCCCTCTGGGGGGATCCCAGCGGAATGAAGCAGATAAAGGACAGCGACACGGGTGTCGCGTGGGGCGCTCCGCTATAATTTAAAAGCAGCTGAGACCACACTGGATCCCAGTGTGGTGACTATACGCCTTTCTCTCTCTTCTCCTAAGTTCTTCTCAAAGTGTATTGTAAGCCAGACTAAAAAATTCCAGTGATATCTTTTTAAGTGCCTTGTATCTGGGTAAGGTAAAGGTTCTGAAGTGCCCTTCTTTGTCTGGATGTCGTTTTAAAATCTGCCAAGTACCTTGTTCTACCTTAACGTTCCGAAGTTTGTAGTAAAAGTTTATAAAACCTCCTGGGAATTTTGTTCTTTCTCCCGTGCACCGCCCACACTAAATCAAACTACGATCCCCCAAACCCGCCTGAGTGGACTGAGGCCATTACACCCTCACAGCTCCCAAAGGAGAGGCCTCAAAACCCCTAAAAGCCCTCACAGCCCCCAACGTCCTCCAAGACGCCCTATGCCTCACAGCCCTCCGATCCCTCCAGGACCCGCACATCCCGCCGCAGCCCCGCAGCACACCCGCCCCTCCGGGACCCGCCCGGCCCCTCACTCACGCCCCGCCCCCGGCGCCCCCCGCGCACGCGCGCGCCCCCTCGCGCACCTGTTGCCGCCGCTGCCCGGATGCGGCTCCTCCCCCGCAAGATGGCGGCGGCCCCTCTGTAGCGCCCGGTGTAGGTCCGGCCCCGCCATGGCGGACCTGGGCCGGCAGCTGCACGAGTACCTCGCGCAGTCCAAGGCCGCTGCCGCTGGCAGCCCCAGCGCGGGCCCTGCGCCGCCGCCCGCCGGCGGCTCGCAAGCGGAGGAGGGGGAGAGCGGCGGGCTGCGGGCCTGGCTGGGCGCGCTGAACCCTTTCCCGCCGGGCGCTGTCGCCGGCGCCCCGGGCAGCGCCGCGTGGCCGTGGGCGGGCGAGGCGGACCCGTGGCTGCCGGGGCTGTCGCGCTGGCAGCGGCTGGCGGGCAGCGCGCTGTGCGTGCTGCTGGCCGCGCTGTGCTTCGGGCTGGCCGCGCTGTGCGCGCCGCTGCTGCTGCTTCGCGCCCGCAAGTTTGCGCTTCTCTGGTCTCTCGGCTCGCTGTTCGCGCTGGGCGCCGCCGCGCTGCTGCGCGGGCCCACCCGGCTGCTGCGGGAGCCGGGGCGCGGGTCGCTGCTGTACCTGGCGGCGCTGCTCGGGACGCTGTACGCCGCTCTGGTGCTGCGCAGCACCGTGCTCACCGCGCTGGGCGCTGCCGCTCAGCTCGGCACCGCCGCCGCCGCGCTCCTGGCCGCGCTGCCCGGCGGCTCCGCCGGCCTGCGCCGCCTGGCCGGGCTGTTCCGCGCCGCGCTGAGCGGCCGCAGCAAGGTACTGCCCCTGTGAGAGCGGCCGGGCCGAGCCCAGCCCTGCCCGGGTGAGCCCGGCCCTGCCGCCGCCCCGGCGGAGGAGCGGCCGTGTCAGGGGGGACTGACTCGCCCGCGAACTGAGAGCCTTGAGCTCTCGCCAGCCGACTCCGAGACGGCGAACGCCGCTCCGTCCGCGCCCTACCGGGTTTTTCTCGCCGGTTCTCCAGGATGAGCAGCAGCGGCTGTCGGCCCGGAGCGGGCCCGGTGTCCCCGAGCTGTGCCTGCCGCGCTCAGGTGTCAGCCTGGCGGCGTTTGCCCTACCGCGGAGCCAGCTCCATAGCCATGGCCTGGAGTCGCTCCACTGCTGGGTAGGAGCTGGCAGCATCCCGCTTCCCTACCTCCAGGATGGCACCACGTGGCTGCTGCCGCTGCTTCAGACCGTGAGCGAGATCGGAGCCGACGCGCTGCAATTATGGACCTGCCCGTTACCGAGCAGCGGCCGAGGCGCGCAGTGCCGACGAATGCTGAAACACGAAGATGATTTAGCAAAATCTGATCACGTCTGGGGGACAACGTTCAAAAATTAACTGTTTTTACCTCATTTTGTGCTGACCCCTACACTCTGAACGTGCTGTGGGGAATCTGAAGATTGTGGCCACTAAACTGCTTTTCTTTCTAAAACCAGCTTTAAAATACCATGCAGTAAGTGAAACAAACTTTCCTGGGGCTGTGGGTCGCAAAGACTGCCCATAATTGTAAAGGGGGGGGGGGTTTCCTGCATGACAATGATAGGATGAAAGGTGCTAATATTAATTAGGAGCCTTGGCCTTTGCAGGTACTGCTGCCTTAGAACTGCTGTAAGGGACCAAATCCTCAGGCTTTAAAAGGGTAGCTCATCTCTTAGAACTTTATTTTGTATATTATATATATTTTGCTCTGTGAAGTGGGGCAGAAATTGCTTCCTTGTCACAGCATGACCTTCAAAAATAGATTTGCTAATAACGGGAGCTCTGTTTCAGTGCAGAAGCCGAGCCTTACTTAGGAAGGTGCTGAATTCAGGGTGACAGAGCTGGGTGCTCCCGTTTGGGCCGTGCACGGGGCTACTGCAGGGAAACGGGACCACCTCACCTGCACAGAGCCCCAGGATCTCATGGAGCATTTGTGCCTAATGGACAAAATAAAACCCAATACTGCAATACTTACCTGCTACCACAACTTAAGGTTTAACGTATTCACCAAATACTTCACTGAATTAAATTGTCAAAGGGGGTACTTAAATGTACATAGATTGCTTTAATAAAACAACTTGCGTCCAGTTGTCAATATAGACATTTCACTAATAGTCACTTTTTTTTTCCCCATAAAAATGTAGATCAGAGCTATCTGAATAGCATTAAATTAGTTCTCTCATTTTTACAACTTCTAAGCTACAGTATATAAAACTGATTTTATTCCTAACAGCAGTATAAAATTTTATTCCTAACAGCAGTATAAAATTAAACAAATCTGAGACAAGGTAGAGCTCTAAACTCACAGGCAGAGCATAAGATTCTACGTGCAACACTGGTAAAAGAACATGACCTGAAGAATACAGAAGTATATTCCCATTAAATAATTGTGTCTATTTCCAAGCAATAGTGAGTCATGGTATCACGGACTGGGAAGCTGCTTCTGTCTCTCCTGCTATGCTGTCCCCTAAGATTTTGTACAAATGCTAGCTAATTATCAAGTTTTCTTATAACTTTCTGAGTGTATTTCATGACTGTGAAATATTTCAAAACTTACCTGAAGAAGCTACCCTTTGATGAAGAATATGACAACATCAAGTTTCATAGTGATGTAAGGAATTAACCACCCATCAGAGGAAATAAAAGTTATCTACATCAAACTGGGTTTCCTATAGTAAGGTACGCTCTAACTTGGTTTGGTAGAGGACTGTGGTTTAATTGAAGCCTAAATCACATATGCTATTAGACCTCTTTTAGCCCCTAAAAAATATACAGGGCTTGCTAACAAAATAAAAATAGGGCAAGCTTTCCTCGTTGCCAGTAATTACCATGAAAACTTCAGGACAGATCCTAACTCCCAGACATATACCCAAAGTGACAAAGGCCCTTCAGACAGAGCTAAAATACACTTTTTTACACTCTCAAGGGAGAAGCTGTCATATCAGATGCATCTCAGATGTTTCCCAGTTAATTCCCTTATGTCCATTCTGTCTCTCCTGAGCCCCATGACAAGGATTTTACAGGCTAACGATCAGTTAGAATTTTCAAATGACATTTTATACACTATAAATTAAAAACTAGGAAAAAACTCCTACTTGTGACTGCCTGAACCAAGAGAACAACAGCTAAGCATGTGTGCTTCGAGGTCTTTAAGTAAGATCATCAGGACTTGAGCCAGTCTTTGGTAGACCTGACTGTATGAGAAGTCAGACGCAATAGCTGTCATGTGTCACTGAGGTGTTGCAGGAGCCTCTAGAACTACATTGACATATATTTTATTATAACCTGGAATTCAAGGCAGGAGGGAGGGAAGCCTGGTAGTAATTTTTCATTATACATTATATGCTACACTTTTAATGTAGAAGTTTCCTGAGAAGGTCTGTAGTATAGGTACTTAGATGGTAACATTTTCACCGAGGCTTATGGTATTAAAGGAACCTTTTGATAACCTGGTGGCTGGAGATGATTAACATGAATGATTTATGGGGAAGACAAACTCACGGTTGGTAAGCAGCTTTATTATGAAATGTGGGAAATGGGAGTAACCCCTACTTCTCATTTCCCTCCTCTAGTAAAATCAGGTAACAATATCCTAAAGAAAAAGACACTTAAAAAAATGTTAATATGGAAGTGATGAACTATTGAGGTTTGCACTTCAGCAATTAATGCGCCAGACTGCTGAACACCCATAGCTTTAAGCAATGTGTCATACAGCTGTTGTAAAACACATCAGTCAAGCTGCTGAACTTCGTTCTTTCTCAATTTCTATAAACAGATGCTGTTTTGAACAAAAATCCTTGACTCGCCCAAGTGAAGACAGTGTTTGTCATGATGTCTGTCTTGCAATCCAGGTTATAACTCACACTGTGCCTTTGACAACTTGTTCTAAATGGTGTTCCATGTTTTTCTCTTCCAGGATGGCAGACTAGCAAGCAGCGCTGATTGCCTGGGTTTTGGAATTTTAACATCAGCACCACTTGTAATCTGTACACAGCTGTGCTAAAGGTGAAAATGAAGGTTCTCTGTGCATGATAAACCCAAAAACTACGAGTCAGCTCTCGGTATTTTAAATGGCTGAGATTTCAGGAGGTAGTTCTGTTGCTCCATCTGAAACACAAGTTTGCCTAAAGACAACCCCCTATAGTAATAGGTGAGTAAAGAATCACACACTGCGTTGATTTTTTGTTAATTTTTGCGCAAATTACATTCTGTATTCATACAAAAACAACGTAACTCTTTGACAAACTGTACATATAGAAACAAGTTTCTGTCTGGAGGTGAACTGAAATCTGTGGAAGTGCTCCATGTCCCCCAACACTTAAAAAAAATTCCAGCTCTTCACAAATAAAGTAGGTAAGAAAGTGAGGAAAATGGGAGTGGAGAGGACAAAACAAAGGTAGCTACAATATTGCAGCTAGAGGCAGTTGACTGATTTAGGAAAAGACCCTTGTTAGGAACTAAAGCACATTCAGTTATCCCAGTTAAGAATCCAGGTTCGTTCGTGGCATTGCAGATGACTCAGTCCAGAGTAGCAGTCTATTTAAATATTGTCCCGCAAGGACTGGGCGTGACCCAGCCAAAGCCTCTTCTATCGTCCTCTTCCACCCCTGGATCCTCCTCTTCGTGACTGGCCAGAGTTTATGTTATTTCCTCTTCCCCAGTTACTTCCGCTCCTTCCTCCTCGAGAAGGGTTGTTGCCTCCCCCGGGGCCTCCACCAAAGGCTTCATCCCTGTGGAATCCATCATGGTGGTCTCCATCTAACGATCCAGACCTCCCAGATTTTGGCGCTCTTTGTGAAGGTCCAGAATTTCCTCGTCCTGCAAAGGAAGCACAGCCAGTTACTGGTGTAAGTCTAAGCTGTGGCCCCTCTCAGACACGCCGTACGTTAAGGTGGTTCTGCCGTGGTGCCATCATTCACAGACCACATGTAGCTGAGACCTGCAATTTTATGCTTCCTCCCTCTAAAGAACTGGGCAACAATTAAATAATTCCTTGGAAATTAAAGGGACTTAGAGTTGATACAGTCAGAACAGTGACAGCACGTCCTCCACACTGCCGGGCACTCCCGGTTCTTGTGCTTCAACGCCATCTCTGGTTCTCGCTATGTTTTTATTGCAAAATACATTATTTTCTTTAATCTTAAACAAAGACACTGCACTGATGATAAGTTGAGACAGTTGAGGTTGATGGTGAAGATAATGAGTAACATTACTGTTTTGTTCCCTTTTTTGCTAGAAATGCTTTATTTTACTACTAACTGGGAACAAAACCTATACAAGCTCTTACTGCCAGGAACAGCATTTTCTACTTCTCACAGATCTTTTTAGTTTTGATATGTAAATGAACATTAAAAAACACCCAACCCAATTCATAGTCTAAAATAACAAGTAGTATTTTGAAAAATCAAATTTACAGTAACCTTGTTTTTTGGACACACACTACAACTAAATCAGAATATTTTTGCTCCACTTTAGCAAGAGCTATTTTTTTGTTGACTCTGGTTGGTTCTGTGTAAAACAGGGACCAAATTGTTCCACAGAGTTTATAATTCATGAATCTTTAGATGACTTAACTAATACAACTAAAGGTGGCACAGCCCATATATGAAAAAGTATTGTTCATGGTTGGTTTATCAGGCTTTCTGCCATCATTCTAAACTTTCTGTAGCACATTTTGAGTTAACTGCCACACTTCTTGTGCATGGACAATTGTTTTAACCTCAATAAAGGATCTGAATGATCACTAATCATTACTGAAGCTGGAGAAGGAATCCTCACAGATCTGATGGATGCTGACTACATGAGAAACACAGTATGCAGTTATGGAAGGAAAAATATTGATATAAGAGGGAGTTTACCAGCAGGGTTTTAGTCAAAACACCTATGAAAGAATGATAAAACCCACTGTTAGTACAACACTGGGAACAGTGTCCACTGGGAACAGCAGAGGAGGAGTGACATGCAGCTAAAACTGAATGACCTTCAGGACAATGGTAAGAGAAGTGGGATGGAATTCAGTGGCATCAAAGACAAAGCTGTGCAGTAACAACAAAAAATTCAGCTGTAGGTTGGCAGCTCAGCATCTGAAAGCAACTGAGAGGACCTTTGTCACTGACAATGGGTAGTCAGTGCGAGGACATTAAGGAAAGTCAGCATTTAAATAACACAACAGCAGTCCTGAGATTTGTAAGGTCGAGGCTAATGGCATGATTGTGGAACTGGCACACATGGCAATAGGCTCTGAACCAGCTACAAACTCCAAAAAAACGATGTGTTTTGTGGGTTACAGTAGCATGTGACTGCTTAGTAGTTAGAGGGAACTATGACATGAGAAGCTGTTAGGAAAGAATGGAGAAAACAGAACAAAACCAAGGGAAGTGTAGAAATCCATGGTTATACCACATCTTAAATAGTGTGTTGCAATTTCTAGTTACCTTGCTGAATTTAGAAAAGGATAATTTAAAACTGAAATTAGTATAGACAGAGTAATAAGGATAGTAAAAGATACAGAATGACTTCTAGAGAGAACAACTAAACAGATCAGAGCTCTGACTTGGAGAAGACAGTTCGGGCTGGGAATGGTGGACTTCAGTGCAATCAGAGACGGCATTCAGAAATAACAGGAATCAACTTTCAACTTAATTACAACACAACATCAGGAATGAAATGAAATCAGGAGAGAAACATTTTCCTTTTTTTTTTTCAAAGCATAATCTACTGCAATTAAGTTTTAAGAGCTCTGCCCATGGATGCTGTGAATATCAAAAATTTATATGATTCTTCAAGCAATTAGAGAAGCACACAAAAGTTAACTGACAAAAGCCATTAAATATAAAAATATTTCAGTAAGTCACTGAACTGCAGATCTTCATAGGTTTAGAGAACATTTCAGGGACATATCACTACAGGCTCAGTGTTGTTATGTTTCAGTTAAAGGATGATAGCACAAGCATGAGTAACAACAATTCTGAAAAGGAGGAAAAAATATTCCTTAATGAGTTTTCCAGCTGGAGTAAAAGGGAGCCAAAAACTAACTGCTTTTGAACAGGGCAATAAGGAAGAGGATTCTACAGTGCTGGAAAGAAGATTTGGAATATGAAAATTTTGGATCCCAGAAAATCCCTCTGTTCTTATGTTCCTGGAAAACTGCTCTTTAGCTTCCCAGCTGGTGAGATCAGATATTTACTAGCTCAGCTTCATCCCCTCTGAACAGAGAAGTTCTAGATAAGCCTGGTGTTGAAAAACATGCCCCTGTTACATGCGGGTTTCAATAAAAGGGGCTTTTTACCTTTGCCCCTCTCCTCTGGAGGTCCACCTGGAGCATCCATGTCTCTGTGGTCAGAGGTCCCCGGTCCGTCGTGCCAGAGGCGTTTCCGTGGTGGCAGTGAGGCCATGTCCATACCCTGGAGCGAAGAAGAACGTTCTCTGCTGGCTGGAGAGTGTCCTTCGTGAGGAGGGTGATCCGGACGAGGACCTGGGCACAAAACCACAGGATAATGAGTAATGTTCATTGAGGTCCTCATTCCTCAGTTTTGGTGGCAGTCACACAAATTCACACGCTGCCCACACCACGTGGCACACAATTTTAAGTTCAAATTACATAAAGCTTCCCCTGTGCCATCTTTTATAAGAAAGCTAAAGGTAAAACAGGTTTTTGACGGGAAAGAAAAATATGACAGATGTAAAGTGTTCTTTTCAGTATAAAATGTTTTCCATCATTTTAGAGGCGTTCACTTATTCACATGTCATTTGTGCTCATTTTTTCCATGATGTTCTACAGCTCATTTTTGCCCCATATGAGGTTGCCATTTGTAACACAAATGCAAATACCAGAAGGCTGTCAGACATTGTAGTTGAACACATTATTCTTGCAAACAAGAAAGATGCCAAATAAGTGAAAGATTACTATTGGCATTGATATATATCTTAAAAACCACACGATATGTGATCCACAAGTGACAACTGCCCAGGCAGTTCTGGGCTGTACAAGAACTCAACTAAAAATGAAGACTTTGACACCACAATAATTTTTTGTTCAGTAAGACAGTTGTATTTAGAGTCAGTTAAATTCTGTATAATTATTTTTTTCCTAAATTTAAAAGACCAAAGAACTATGTTTGGCTTTTCTCATGGTAAAATGCTGGTAACAAACATACAAGGTACGAGAAAAAGAGGTGATTTTGAAATACTTTTGTAAGTGGTTATATAGTAGAAGTCTACAAACCTCACCAAATTTTTTACCTGGTTCTCTGTTTCCATCCCAGGATTCTGGTTTCCGCCCTCCTTCAAAGCGTGGAAATTCATCTGGGGTAGGAAGCAAACCCTTCCGGGCTCCTGAGCAGTAAGAGAAACAGGGGACAGGAGTGAGAAAAGACTTTGTATTCGTGAGAAGACTGTCTGCCCAAGAAATGCCTTTCCTTCCTCCTTGCATTTCCACGTGGAAGAACGTTCCCCTCACCTCTGAGAGCACCGCGACCTCGCCCCCGGACGCCATGGTCCCTTCCTCTGGAGTTTTCATCGGGAGAGTCAAAAGCGTCATCTGGCCCAAAATCTTCAGGACCAGGAAAGCCATCTCTGCCCCGGGGTCCCCGGCCCTCATGTCTTGAGGGTCCTCCTCCTCTTCTGAAGCTACAAGAAAGAACATGATACAAATATGGGATTTAGGTAGAACTGAGTCAGCTTCAGTTTTATAATCAACTCATTTCTGAACTGTTTCACCTAATGCTACAGCACATAAAGTTACTAGAACAGGATGTGGAGGTGGAAAAGTGCTCATTTTCTGCCTTCGAGCACTTTGATAGTCATTTTTGTAGTTTTCCCCTCATATTTCCTTCTGTTGATTGTGTTGGCTTTTCATAGAAGGAAAATTTTGTTAAACATACTGCATTCATTTAATGAAAAGGTGGGAAAATGAATGAGTGATGATAGATGTGAGGTAAGGCAAGAAAAAGCAGTTTCCCTTAACTGTGGTGGTCTTACATTCCCATTCCCTTTTTCTCTTTCCATTTTGATGATAAAACAAACGCAAAACATACAAGCAATGAGAATCACGGCTATAACAAAATATTCCAGCATCTCATTCCTATTGATTCTATAATTCTTTTGCCAAAATATTCTCTTTTTCATTCCATTCTTCAAAGTTTACAACTTTAGCAAGTGCATCTAGACTGCCCTTGGCTCTGTAGGGACAGTGATGGCTGAACAGGGCACAGCAGCATTCTGCAACCTGAAGAGCAGTTTATCCAACTGCAATAATGAGGAATTTTGTGTTGCCAAATGTAGTTACGGCACTGAAGTTTGATAAATGCCTTCTACTTCCATGGCATCCTCAGGAATTTATTATGACTGGATTCTGCACCTCATCTTAACTGAGTACAGTTCCTCCAGCACTTCACTGGGGGGGCCTGGACAGCTCTCCAGAGAGGAGAATGGCTCTTACTGACCTGTCAATGCCATGTCAGGTCAGCCTGCAGATGGCTGTGTGAATAATTAGTAGTTTTGTTTCTGACATGACCAGTTGAAACACCTGGAGTGCTTGTAAAGCACATCCATGTTCTGTGACAGCTGCACCTGGAAGGTGCAGGCCAGCCTCAGACACAGCCCAGGGTCTCTGCAGGCACAGGGCAGGTGTTTAGGTGGTGCTGAGCCCTCACCGTGCCACCCCACCCTCAGTGACAGCACACAGTGTGGATGGAGCACTCCCTGCCCAGTCACAGATGCCCCCCACCTCCCTGCTGTTCCCAGTTCCACACTGGCCAAACTGGAAGCACCACAATATTCCAATGGTGTTGGGCTGTGTGGCAGCATCCCCTTCCCCAGCTCATTAACGACACAGTGCATCCTATTACAAGCAAAATTTTAGATACTTTTATTTAGAATTTTAACAACATTAACCTTTTAATTACAAATTTAAATATTTTAACAGTAGTCATAACACAATACAATATTTTAAACTTTTACATTGTTTTTAATAAAAAACAATAGGTCTGTCTCCACCTCCCAGAAAACAAGCACAATACAGAGAGGAGGCTGCTGTGCCTGTACAGGTACAACAGTGAATGGAGGAGTGCTGTGTATGGACCATGAACCATTTACATTAACCTGGATGGTTTAGGAAAACAAACTCAACAGTTTCAGGTACAAATGGTTCAAATAATCACAGAGCAATATTGTTTAGCCTTGAAACAGCACAGTCCTCTAGATGTTTCTCAGAGGGCCTCCCACTTTAATACTGACATGGTGTGATTCTGCTTAGCTTGAAAATTACCAAGATTTGCAACACAAGGCCCTAGGGCTGCAGGAACAGGGCCTTTCCTATTGCTTTCAGGCAACTTACGGACACAGCTGAGTTTTGAAATCTACCATACCTATGCCTGACACAGCCACAGCTCCTAAAACTGCGTTAGGGACATCCTTATTCACCTTTTCGTATCAGTCATGCGGAAAGCCCTGCCTTGCATCGGGCCCAGTTCCCATTTGACTGCTCTCAGATCTTCTTCCTCGAGGCCTAGGACCTTACTGTACACAACTACACACTGTGCAGATTAGCAGGCAGGAAGAGGCAGGTCTCTGCAGTAGAAGCATCATGTTGATATGCACAGGTAGAGTAAGAACAGGACAGGGATGAAAAGGACGGGAAATTAGAGAGAAACATACATACACACATTTGCCTCTCATGCTTGATCAAACCAGTTACAATCTCAATTCCAAACCAAGTCAGCTAAAGGAGTGGTTGGGATTAAGTCCACCCCAGCATCTGCAGTAAACGGCACCTTGTTCACCTTCATTCCAAGAAATTCATCGAGTTTACAGGCACAGTGAGCCCTTTTAGAGCTCTGTGCCAATTCACTGCAAACTCTGGGCAAACACTTGTTCTCTGATAAGCAGATTACTCTTAGTTGAAAAGTCAGATTCACAGGCCACAAGGCTCTTGTTTCCCTTCCTGCAACTTCTGAAAAATCAGGACCATAATAAAATATTTTCCAGTCCCTAACCGTTTTCAATATAAGATCTGAAAATCTCGGCTTCTAAAAGTGTTGTCTGCTGTTTCTTTTAAAGTTCTCTGATGCAGACCATTCAGCTTGGATTCTCTCTGGCTTTACTTTTTAAAAATGGCTTTAATTGTTACCTTCTTTTAGTTACTGTTCATTTCTTTTCATACTCTTCACACAAAAGGAAGATACATCTTTACAGAGCTAGGTAGAAAATAGCTAAAAGAAGAGCTGTATAGATGCAAAGTAAAAGGAATGTAAGAAAATTATTTAAAAGGCAACTAAAACACACAAAATTCACATTATGTGGAGACCACAGCATATTTGTACAAGCACATGTTCTTATACATAGAGAGTTGGTGGTCAGTGAGAGGCTTAGACCTTGGAGGTCAAATTTCACTCAGTTAAACCAGCATAAACCTGGAGCAATTTTGCTGACAGTTAATCTTGAAGACACTGTAATTCCTCCATATTTAAACTGGTAACTAGAAGCAAATTCATCCCTTTGTGATTTATTTGGAGATTGGGAGCAATGACATGAACATTGCTCTAAATCAGATGATTTTTGAGTTCTTTGCTTGGCATTAAGAAATAAGTCAGAAAGAGAAATAAAAATTCTACAAGCAAACACATAAGAAAATAGTCTCGACAGTCCAACAGATGCTGCAGCTCTGTCCCTTCTATCCGACAGTAGGATCACTGTTCCTGCTCCTTACAAGGACATTGCATCTCATCCTACAGTCTCTACATCTCATCCTACAGTCTCATGCTGTAGTTTGTGACTGGAGACAGAGTCTCAAAATCCATGTCTAATGTTCAAAAGTTTGTCACTTTAACCTTCATGTCTCCTCTCAATTTTCATCAAAACGGTCTCAAATCTTCATCCTGTGTCACTGGATCTTCTCTACAAACTTTCTCCCTTCTCTTTACTTACTGTTTAAAGACACGGAAGCTGCTGTGTACAATGTGACCATTTTTCAAGTTTTCTTCTATTACTGAATGATTTTTATGGACTCTACACTCAGGTATATTAGAGTTTTCATTTCCTTATTGGTTTCCAGTTTATAAATCTGAAACAGATAGACTCCTTAATGAAAAGGAAACCAGGAAAAAAGAGTTCCCTCCATTTACCCTTTAACCCAAGAAAGAGAAGTAGGTTTATTCTTACCTCTCATCTCGCCTTCCTCGGAAGCGTGCATCCTCAGGATCCCGTGGATATCTATCATCTGAAGGTCTCCGTCCTTCCCAAGCACCAGGAGGTCCACGGTTTGAACTGCCTCCTTCAAATTCCCTGTGATCTGGAGGAAAGGGAGGCCCAGGTCCACCTCGTCTCCACTTCTCATCTTGCAATGGTGGGCCTCCTCTCCCCTCGAATTCCCGCAGGCGGTGGCCAAATCTCTTATCTGGATGGAAATCTTCACGGAAGTCATCTGGTCGATCAAAGTCATCGTGGAAATCGGGGTGAGGTCCTCGTCTGTCTGGCAAGCCCCTGCTGTCTCTGCCATCCCCCCACTCCTGGCCACCTCGGAACAAGCCCCTCTCGGGCCCGTGCTCGGGGCCGCCGCTGTTCTGGTCGTGCCGTCTGTCAGACAGCGGGCCCAGGTGATGGTTTGGGGGACCACGGGTGTCACCTGCAGGAAAAAAAAATCACAGCAGGTTTCTGTAACGTTTTCTAAAATGCTCAAGGATGCTCTAGCTCATACAGTTCTACAAAGCACAGGATACATTTCACACTAATCAAGAGTTCTGGGAAAACTTTTCCTCTATATTCCAGCCTGCATCTATGGAAGCTCTCAGCCATTTCTCTCGGGGACAGCACCTCTTTTAGGAGGACAGGAGAACAGACAATACATTTAATTACCTTTATTAAGACCAGGTCCTTGGTTGTGAGGACCAAGACGACCTTGTCCTCCCTGCTGCCCCAGGCCTGGTATCAGCGGAGGAGGACCAGGGTTCTGTCCGTCCTGTGAACAAGTGGGAAGAACAGCCATGTGTGAGTAGTTTAAACATTTTATAAGAGTGCAAACCAATTTTCTTTCCACAAAGACTGCATCTGCACAGGTTGTAAAACAAACAGCTCATGTTCCAATGGTTTCAGCCTCATTTTTCAGACATTCATATCAGTAATGCTTTCAGTCACCAAGAAACACGTACTTTTATAGGAAACAGCAGTTCAAGGATTCATGTTTTACTTGTAACAACCAAAGATGATAAAGCTCATATTCTGGCTGAGTATGAATTTTCTATCAGAATGAATATTCTATATGAATATCCTATTCCTCTAGATGAGGAAAGAGTGTTTATTTGTTTGAAAAACATCAGGCACTGACTTCTATGCAGTTAAAGAGCTGCATAGACCAAAGACTTCCTTTGATAATGAACAAAAAAGAGAAACTATATATACAAAAATAAATATCAACAATATTGGGATGGGGGGACAAGGACAGGGCTGTAAGAGAATCTTTCCTGTAAAACTCTAAGCTGTTAACATGGAAATACATGAGTTTCATTTTTAACATGCTGGCAAAGTTTGTTTTCCTTAGTTTTAGGATTAAAAAAAAGGGCTAACCCTTGGCTAAATACCAAGTTGTTTAGGGGGTTTTCAACACTGACAGGGCTAAAGGCAGGAGCCACAGTCACCTCCTTCCTCAGGCAGTAGAGTGGGCAGAGGGCTGTGGACGTTCTGTGATCCCACATAAAAAAATAAAGTATGTAAGTGTTTTTGTTACTTTCTCTCTTTTTTGTGTGTGAATTTTAAAGCAAAAATAATGCTCTTTAAATTTAGATGCTGTCACAGACCCATGGAAGATTTCTACAGGTACCAAGTTTACACTGGACCCGCTATGGTGACACTGGTTGGGAAGTGTGTTTGGACTATGGTCTGATTCTGCCTCAAAACAGCAAAGGCCTGAAATAAAGTCATCATTTGGGGTTTGTGCTTGACTGGAACTGAAAAGGGGCACGTACAGTATTTACACTGTTATTATGAGATCCAAAAGTAAAAATGTGAACAAACAGAGTCAAAACCTGCAGGATTGCTA